CCCGAGATCTCTTTTTTTTGTTAAGCTCCTCTCAATCCCAAGAGACACTCGGGACTCTCTGCATACTGGTATGACAATTCCAGCATTCCGAAGTAGTCGGAGGGGATGGGTGAGGGATGTGCTTCGAAAGGAGAGTGAAGATCTGATACGGTTATCAAACAGTGCGCACCGTATCACATCCTCTTCGGATGCTCCGGCGAGACATGCAGTCGTTTCACTGTGCAGGGATCAAAATGAACAAGCACGAAATTGAGTTATGAGCCGAAGTTGAATGCAGAAAAAGGTGTCAAAATGCGCTCTCGACACCAGGATGTATTCGGGTCGGAAGCGCATCCGGACTTCAGCAACATTGTTAGTCTCAAAGCCAATTGTAGCCACTGATAGCTAGCCGGTGTTTCCTGTGAGGTTTGGATCCTCACTCACTCTCTCTCTCCACCGAGCTCGAAAGTGAGAGAAAGAGACCGACGACTCGATGCGAGCATCGATAGAAAGAGCATCCAGGATAATCCATGTTGTGATCCCGTTCAATCAATCTCGTTGAATGACAACTATGGGAGACGGCTCGGTCGACTCTCACTTACGAAAGGACCTTTCAATTTTCGGTGAGATCTTGATTTCGTTTTTTTCGAAGAGCCCAATGGAGACTCATGATTCTTCGTTCACCTTCTCGAAGAAAATCCGGAGCTACGATGAGATGGTCCGAAAATTGGCGAACACACTCTCTATTCCGAGAGGTCGGTTTCTCGAGACTAGGGTGCCGGACTCGGAACAAAGAGATTTCCGCCATATCCCGAAGAAGGTCCGGAGTCCTTCATGGAAACGAGAGAGATGCCAGCGGCTGCGAGAGAAGTTCTTCTGGAAGCCGGCCGCACATGGCTTATGAGTTGCTTGAAAGGTCGGTGTTTTTCGTCGACTGAATACTCGACCAGCTAGTGGTTAGTCGCTTAGTAACTACTACAACCACCGGCGATAGCACCAGAAGCGGCGGCAGCAGCAGCAGCACCATCACACAAAAGACGGCATTAGATAGAAAACCGCGAAAGCTGTCTGAAACTGTTGTTCCTTGAAATGAGCGGCTCCACCTCAACGATCAAAAGCTCAAATTTCTAGCCAGACGAACGCCAGACACCGGCCAACTCTGGTTTTCCGAAGGTGTCAGTCGCGGCGGAACGCCTCCGCTTCTTATGCCTCGTAGGCTTTCGAATGGTCGAACGATCATCGTTCAAGAAGTCAACGGAGTAGCCATCCATGTAGCCAGACATCTGTACATCCGCGCTCGCTACAAGAGGCGCTCACTCCCATCCACTCGAAACGGATGCCATCACGCACGGCACATGCCATGACCACGCTTTCCCGTCAGCACATGATCAGAGAGGGGCTTAACCTATTCGCTCACGCTCGGTATGAAATCGTCGAGGGGCATTGTTTAACGAGTAAATTGAGATCGTTTATTACCTTTGACAGATTTCGGCTTCGCCTGTTTCCTCCGCGACTGTGCAGTACTCATTTTTTCCGTATGGTCCGCTCGCTCAAGGTACCGACCACTGATACCCACTCAACTCACGCTCGCTGGTTTTCCAGAATCATCTCACAAAAAAAACTCCATTCATGGAGAATTCGCTATCCGGCTCCACAGCCCGCTCCAAGGGACGCTGGTCTTCGAATGGAGGTACAGACCTCGTGCTTCAACTAGCCCCTCTCTGTTTGGGTTGAGCTCAGCGCCCCCCGGGGCCAAGCACGCATGCGCGCAGGAAGGCCACCAGAGGTTTGGAGGCGGAGGACCGTCGAGTGAGGACTGCTGATGCTGCTGCTTCTGCTGCCACCGGGGCCACGGAGGTACGGCAGCCTCTGCCGCCGCTTCCGCCGCCACCGCTGAGACCGTCTACCAAGGAGTCATGGAAGTTGACACAGCCCGGAACTTCTGAGACCGTCCATAAATTTACGGAATCGATCACTCTCGGCGGCATGTTCTGCAATCCTTACGCCCGCCGTCCCAACGTTTCAGTAGAGTAGAGATGCAGCCGGCTCCGCGCGGGGACTCGATCAAGGCAACAAGTGGCCGCAACTCAATAAGGGGGCATTGAATTATGAGAGGCATATCATCATTGGAAAGTGAGAGTTCCATTTGAGTGCAGACTCAAAACGGAGAGGGCGATTTCCAAACATTCAGGCCCTTCACAGAAGGTGCTCGGATCGGAGGTCACTGGAAAAGTGTGATCAACCGTGGATATTCCAAGTGGAAAATAGGCCCGTTCATTCTTCGACAATCCGAGACTTGCCCGATGATAAAAGAGAGTCCGGACAGTCCGTCTCTTCCGTCCCCCAACAACGGGATGGAGTTCGGTCTTTTATTCTGACATGCTTTCTTGAACCAATCTGAAGAAGGCGCGAGACGTTTTGCACTCCTCGGGGCTCGCTCCCTCAAAAAAGCCCGCTCATCAGAGACTGCCCATCTATTTAATCTAGCCCCTAGAGCCTGCCGGTCTATCGGAGGTTGCCCATATATGAGAGGGTGCCCGTCTATCAGAATGTTTACGGTATTCGTTCCTCTCAGAACTGCAGAGCGGATTCCCCGCTGCTCGAATCTCCATGAGTTGCATTCCGAGAATATATGTTCGAGAATTTCACTCCTTGGAATTCCCCCCCCCCTCCGCGCAGGTAAGGAGTGCGAGACGCGCCGCGCCGCCCTTTCGACTGCCCCACTGATCGGGAAACTCTAATCCCGACCTCCATGAGGAAGATGAGATCCGAAACTAGATCTGATAGAGCTCAAGTCGAAACCGAATGAGGAATTCCGATGCGGTTCATCTCAGACTCGCGCATTATCGCCTGACGCAGGGCTTCGCCCGGTGCTACCAGCGGCGCCCGTCACTTTAGTGTCCCCAGACTGCGATCCGTAACTGAGCGAATTTTCGGCCCTTGCCGTACCCGACGCACGTACAGGCTCCGAACGAAGAGACCAAATGAAGACGGAAAAGGAGTTGTGATCGATCCCACCGTTTGCCAAGCCACTCGCCAGAAGCTTCCCTCCACCCGAGCGCATGTGTCCGTCAGACCGTCTGTTTATCCGTCAGGGAGCCCAGCCAGCGGTCCGTTCTGTGCACCATCGTCTCCGAAGTACCTCTACTACTTCTGATGCAAGGAAAGAATTCTCTCTCTTATTTTGTATGCACCACCACGAGCGGCGGCGGCAGCAGCAGCAGCACCGCTAGCTATGACCGGCAGGCTTCTCCTGAGAGACCGAAGCTGCTCTCGGGCCTCCTTAGTCAGCACTAACCAACTTTGTGAAGCACGCACCTGTTGACCAGCAAACCCCTAGGAATCCCGCTGTCATTGACTGGAATAAGATGATCCGACGCCTCCGAATTCGATGTTCTCGTCATTTTACAGTCCCGGATGACCGTGGACTGGAGGGAAATCCGAGTTTCTAAGTTTCTTTCACTGACTTATTCACCATGCCTTCTTAAAAGTGATATGATCCCGGATTGGCATCCGATCGTCGGTATCCAAATCCCACCTGAGGAGAAGAGCATAAAATTCGCCCGGCATATCGCGTGAGAAGCGATGCTGCAAGAGTGAATGGAATTCACGGAGCGACTCTTCCTTGCGGACAACGTTGAGCTCCGCCTATAAAATCGACACACCATCATGACATGGAGGTCACTTCTTCGGGTTTCTGACTGTCTCTATCGAGCAGCTCCAACTCACTGATTCGATAAGCCTCTTTTCTTGGGAAAATCTAGCATAATAAGGAGGAGCTGGTTTCGAATCGGAACTCTTACTGCCGGTTGAGAGCACGAGTTCGAAGCTCTGGGGCATTTCTTGAATTGTGTTTTCGGCCTGAAACGTAGTCATATGCTCCTCGTCTCCTCATCCGCTCCACCGAGTGTTCTCCGACCGATAAAGACGGAAGGCATGGAGGAGGCAAGCTTCTTGCCTCGTTTCCCCCTCACACAGCGAAAGAGTGCCTGCCTGCGTGTCCGCATAAAAACAAACGCGGCGAAAGTGCGAGAGGAATTTTAGGCTTCATCAAATTGACTTGATTTGCCCTCTTTCTGAAGCTTCCTGGACTTCTGCTCCATAGGCCATATGTCAGACTAGGAATGGCGGGTAATTTAGAGCTCTCTGGGGAGCTGCCTATCTCATGCATATTCGCCCTACGCCGCCACCGAGCAGACAGCCCGCCCGGCTCAGCCGCCGCTTGCTCGGTTTCACTCCTGCAGGCAAAGGCGAGCTGCTGGAAATCTCGAGACGTCAAACTGGCCTCAACTCACATAAGTCAAGAGCTCAGGGAAACATCGATGCAGGCACGGGGAGCTGTGGCTATCGCTAGCATGCAAACGACATTCAGCTCGCGGCGCGGCGGCTCCCCGTAGCTCCGGATGATCATTTCAGGTCTGAAAGCGGAGTCGCAATTCAGAGGTCTCTTTGGAGGCAATCGGTCCCCTGATCATTTGTTGCGCATCCTTCCCGGTAATCAAATATGAGCGCTCCAAGTACTTCAAGAGCCGAAATCGATTCCGCCGGTATTACATATCGAGTATTGTTCCCGAGCCTTGAACGACGAAAACCATGACGGGAATGCTGCCTCCTGTCTGCGCCGCGGATTCCCATGAAATGGAACCTCCGATTGGAATCACAGGGTACGGAGGACAAGCTCTCTTGGAAGAACACGCCTAGTTCTCGGAGTCTCGGACGCGCTATCCGTCGCCACGTTCATCGCCGTCGTCAAGGACCCTATGATCTCTCTCTTCGGCCTCTATGTGGTCGCTTTACTGCTGAAACTGTGCATTGACGGATATTCGATGAACAGATGTATTGTCGTCAGGGAGCTTATGCGCCACATATCGCAGCCATCCAAGAGCCTTTAATTTTTAGAACCATTGCTCATCAGGATAATTTTCCCGAGGGATTCTGAGGAATTTTATTCCTTCTGAGGAAGCGAGCTCCAATGCGCCCGAAAACTCAACAAAACGAGTTACAACTATCGCACCACGAAACTATTGATAAGTCTTCCGAGTCCACATCCATCGGCAAGTGAGTGAGAGCGAGAGAGCGGTCAGCAATCCTAGGTGGTGCACGTCCGTGGATCCACCCCCGTTCCGGGTCTCGTTCGAAGACAATTGACCTTGTTTAGCTGATTTCTGACGAGATGTTGGCCTAGGGGGGGATTGGAATGGCATGTTAGAAATTATATCCATCAGGACGTGCGGGAATAATTCGGATTTTGATCATCGTGTGCGCTAAGAGAGCTCATATCAAATGTATGTCGGTTCTGATGAGATAAGAAACTATCATGAGAAGGCGTAGCACAGGAGCTGATTCCTGTCGGATTGAAGGACAGCATATCGATGCAAAGCCAAGAAACTAGGAAATCTGACGACCTCGAGCTCCCGCGTGGAGCTACGCGGCTAAGCGTTCCATGGCATCACAGCGCATATTGAAGCTGGAGTGTTGGTTCTGGCGGCGTTAATTCTGCATAAGCGAAAAGTATTCGAAAATATTAACAGAAGTCCGCAAAGATCTGATGGAACTGATGAGCCCGCTGCGACGGATCAGAACCAACAGAGTCTAAGTGCTGTTCCAACAATCAGCTCCTAAACTGAAAAGGCTTGTGTTGCGCAAATATTGCATCTAGGAAGCTTCTAATTGTGTCTTCCTCGGCCAGAAAAAAAACATTCACGAGTGTCTAGGGTGGGAGAGGAAGACTGAGTGAGTGAGGCGAGAATCGTAAAATTCGAATCGTACGCATGTGAGACTTTCACAGTTTTACTCGTTGTAGCGACGACCATGGAATTCGTCTCGCCGGCTTTCTCTGGGTTGGCCACGATATCGATATCGTCATCCTCGTCGCTCTGGGTTCGACTGGGGTAAAAATGCTCTGATGATTCTTGTTGATTCGAGCTCGACAAGCCGGACTCGAAAGCATAAATTCAGCATCAGTCCCCTCCTACTAGAGCGACATCTCGAGCGCCAGCTAGAATCCGCGCTCACCTGTTCACAATGAAGGGCTCCCACAGCTGACAAAGTTCCGTTCTATCGAAGGGGCCGACCGTTATGTTGCCTGGCTGCAGATATATGACCTGTGGTGAATCGGAAGAAAATTTTGGCCAATCCACGTCCTTGCCGGGAATCTTCGGAACGCTGAAATTTCACCAAAGTGAATTATGACTTTCTAGCTAAAGCATCTGGCTGCTTTGAACTTTCTAGGGAATCTCACAGGAATCACGCAACGATTCATGGAATTCCTTCGATGCAAATCGCTTGTCGACGCCCACATCCGACATGCCGCATTTGATATCGTAGTGTGTTGTTGTGGTGAGTCTGTCAATGTTCGGATCGCTTTCTTACCCGGTTTTGACAAAACGCCCTAAAATATCCAGTAGTTTTTCGTCTACGTCGCCGCTCAACTCAAACTCATCTACTAAAGAAGATCTCTTGGCGAAAAGCACGCTGCTCGTATCTCGCATTCCGGATAGAACGTCGGCGAATATTTTCACAGGACACATGAAATAGGCGTCGGTGAAGACCTGTCGGCACAGCTCTCTCGCGTCTTGAATGTCTCGTTTATATCGCAGCAGCAGCTTGTCGACGAAGTTCAGAGGAATGTTCAGTGAAGTCCTCAGGAAAGTTCTCAACACGTGCTTGCAATCGGAAGTGGTGTCGACCGAGCCGGGCTGCGACCTGAGCAAATCTGTGAGCGTGGGATCGGATTCATCGTCTTTCATCAAGATGAATAATTGATACGGGTTGGTGAAGTGCTGTCTGTCCCCTTGGAAGGGCTCGTCGGGAATCAGCGAATCCCCTATCACCGGCTGGAAAGCATCCGGCTCGAAGTTTTGCGATCCTGAAACAGTCAACATGAGTCATTCATTCGACGAGTGCTATTAGGCTTGCGGGTCTGTTGACCGATCGGTCCGTATGTCAATTGACGGAATCACGGAAAGCTCGCGTGCCCTCAACCGTACTAGCTCCCGGAATCGATGCCAAACGAGCTCTTCCGCCGGAGCGAGGCTCGTAAACAAAAATAATCATCGTGCTTGACTCGAATGACCCGAAACCTTCTTTTGAGAAATTCCTGCACCACGACAGGATCGAAGCAGAACAAGAAATCTCACCGATGATGACTTCGGGATGCACCACTTTCAAGCAACGAATCGCTTCGTCCCTTTGAGACTCCCATGTCTTCGAATAGTTGAAACAGCCCGCGTTCACCAGAAGTCGAGATGTCACAGCCTCGGAATTCGTTTTGAAGGAGTTGCGGCTCGTGTGTACGCTGCCACTTTCGAAGATGATTTTTTGGAAAAGGTCTTTAGTCATGGGAGAGGTCATTAGAACAGCGGCCACGGCGGCACCTTCTCCTTTGGCCCAGAGCGTGATGTCTCCGGGGTTTCCCCCGAAAAGCCTGGAGTTCAATTTCACCCACCGCAAGGCTTCTAGAATATCGTATAGGCCCGCGTTTCCTGGAGCTTCGGGACTTCCTGAGAATAGGAAACCCAGCGCACCTACGCGATAGTTCAGCGAAATGAAGGCGACGTCGTTTCTGGCGGCGAATTCGGCCCCGTCCGGAATTATGATCTGATCAAAACTCGGTATATAAACCACGATTGGGACGTTCATCCCGCGGGCTGCTTTCATCTGTTCGGGGTTTCCGTCGGGCTTGCTCGGTATCCAGAGGTTCAGGTAGAGACAGTCCTCGCTCATTTTGAGCTCCATCCGGCTGGGTCGCATGCACAGCGGCGGTATCCGAGTCGCGTTGAACACTCCGGGCGTGGGCAGAAGGGGAATCGGTTTCATGAACCTTCTCTGACCTGTGGGAGGTTCCGCATACGGGACCCCGAGATACGAGTTGACAGTTTTTCCGTGAATCGCCTCTTTCACTCCCATTAGTTTCCCCGTCACAGTTGTCAGCAACGGCTGCGTGGCTGCCGCGGCCGCAGCCAGCACCAAGAGGACCAGAATAGAAATCGATTTGGGTTCCATTTCGCGCATCAGAGGCGATCGGCCGCGCTTTGAGCCGCAAAAGTCAGACACTTCCGCTGCGTCTTCTTCCCGTAGAGTTCACATGTGCGCTGCTGAACGCCTCCGGACTCGTAATCGAAGATTGCACGATCACCTCATGCGAAGATCACCTGCTTCGCTAGCATCACGGTCCACGCCGAGCTTGCTTTCAGAAATCAAGAATAGTTTTGGCAGAATCACTGTTCGGATCGCAGTTGCCAGTTCCGACGCACACTTGTGTATCATCTGCACGTCCGAAGCAGCTTTCGCGATAAAGTCTACCCTTTCCTGAAGAAGATGTTCAAGGACATATTTTTATACCCACCGCCCACAGCCAGATGCTCGTGGTGGAACAGGGTGTAAGTGGTGTGCATGAGAGGGAAGGAAAAATCCTCGAATGTAAAAGCTCTCATCGACTCTGATTCGGTCAGAAAACGGACCCTGGCGGGACGAGAGAACGTTTTCTAACGGTACACTGATTCGAGCGGTCTGCGGACCGACAGAATTTATAGGTACGTAACGCTTCCGGTCTGCGGGAATCCCCGACGCTTCTCCGCGAGCTGAGCGACGAGAGTACGACTATGATTTTTTATATTCGCATTGCGTAGCTCGATTTCCCGCGGGAAACCTGAACGAGACTAGAGGTCGAAACGAGTTTCTTTCCTTCTGGATTCGCTCGGAATCCTCGATAATCCCAAATATCCCTAAGGCAACGCGAGATCGAAATGAGCACGGCTGTCCAGGTTGAAATCCCCCCTCCCCTACAGGCGTCGATTCTTTCGAGGAAATTATTTAAATGAGTCGGAACAAAAGTTGCTTGCGATCGATCGGCCTCAGGTCCTCCCTTGGCGAGTCGAGTCGAGGTGACCTTCGGAAATTTTAATGAAATGTTCTTGGACGGCCCGTCCGGTGTCCGACCCATCGTCATCATACGCGTCTTCGTCTAGCTTTTGTGCGCTCTTCCTTTCATCGTCCGCTCACGCAACCGGTTGTTTTTTGTTTGCAGGACAACGTTATTTTTTTCTCCTGCGGAATCATACTCAGAAAACACTTACCCTCCCCTGATGAAGGATACCAATTGCTGTCTGACGTCGCGGCTCAGATCGGACGACTTCCGACTTCGGTCGATGTCATTCGAAGGATCCAGGAGGAATTTTAACTCGCTCCGAGGCTTCTCCGAAAACTCTATTTCGAAGACGAAGATTTCATTCGCAAGACCCGAATTTCGAGCCCAGAAATAGCTGGCGCAGCGATGCAGCAGATCCTGTCTCATCTCCCCGATCAGTCTGAGGATCTCGGGTCCGAAATTCTTCCCTTGAAGATTATTCGGCGCCGAGGGAGCATAGGCGCGGAAAATGTTCCTGTTCTCCACCGAAGCCATAGGCGAGTCGAAGCAAAGCTCCACAGCCTCTTTGAGCATGACCAATCTGTCTGAATCGGGATCTCTCGACGAAACAAACTCCCTGATGTCGGTGTCGTCTTTCCACCCGCTGTACGCGTACGAGCCGAGCAGGATTTGTTGTCCTCGAATCTTAGCATTCCCGCTAGTATAACCTGGAAGATTCGTTCCGCCTCCGGAATTCGGACCGAAGTTCAGTCCCGAGTGCAGCTCGGAGGTATGCTTCATCCTGATGCACTCCACAGTTTCAACTGGGTCCAGAGCATCGCATCGCACGACCCGTAGAAATTCATGGAGAGGATTCCTGAACGTTTTTCTGTTCAACATGAACGGAGTTCCCGAGAGTAGGACGATTCTCTGGAAGAGATGCGAAGCCGTTTCGTCCAGCAGATGCATACCCGCGATGGAACCAGAAAAGCCAAATCCCCCTATTGTGATTTTGTCTCGCCTGCCGCCGAATGCTTCTACGTTCTCATTGATGAATTCCAACGCAAGCCTTTGATCGTGTATGCCGATGTCTCCTTGAATGTCATCCAGCGATGCATTGAGAAAACCGAAAACACCCACTCTGAACGACACTGTTATTACAACAATGTTTTCGGTGGCTGCTAAGGCAGAGAAGTTCATTCGAAGAGAATCTTCTTCGCCGTTCATGCCGTCACCGAGGAACCAGACGAGAAGAGGAAGGCTTTCGCTCCCTCGCGGCTTCAAGACGTTGAGGTACAGACACGATTCAATAACGATTCCCGGGTTTCTCCGAGGACACGGATCTCTCGCGACGAAGGCCGTTCTGACACCTGTCCACGCTCTGATCTCTTTGGCACGAGCGAACCTCACGGGTTTCTCGGCATAAGGCACTCCGAAATAGGCGTCAAGGATCTTTCCGTTCGCAGTGACAATGCTCAAGCCAACGACTTCGCCCTGCGCCAACACGACCTTTGGTGCATCTGGAAAATCGATGACATTGAACTCGGCTTCTTTTTCGGTCGTTTTCAACAAATCTTGGTCAATTGCGGAAGACGTCGTGGTCTTTTCTTCGGGTGATGGCATTGTGATCGGTTCTTCTTGGTCAGGCCCCGGACCGTCGTTAAGCGTGGGCTCGACATTTGTGAAAGACTGGGAAGAGTCGATTGCTTCTGTAACAAACGAGCCTCCGGTTGTAGGTCGCGTCGATGTCTCGATGACAAATGCGGCGCTAGATGTCCGGAGTAGCTCATTGATGGTTTCATCTGACCGTAAGTCCACAGGATCATTCCGCGAGGGCGAAGTCGCTTCCATTTTTGATGAGGTCTGATGGCGCACCAGAGACTCGGGTGTTTTCTGACGGCTCGGAGAAGGTCCGATGGGCTTGACGATCGGAACACTAATCGGTTCTCCCCCTGAATTACGCCGAACAATCAGCGTTTCTGCGGAATTCCGCTCAGCTGTCGAATCCGCATCAGCTGCTCCGACATCACTCGCTGTGTTTACAGCTGACGCGTGGCGCTCCGAGCTTCCGGGTTGTTGAGGTTCTCGGGTCGGCCCCGAATCTTCCACGACGAGCCTCGCCGAACCCGTCCTCTGTGATAAGTAAACTCTGCTCTCTATCGAATTCGTTGCTGGAGGGAGCGTTCGATTCCTCGCAGATGTCACGCCGAGCGGTTGTTCAGAGTCGCGTACAACGTCTCGGGCCAGAGAATCAACGGCGCCGATTTGCAAGCAACAAACCAAGACGTATAAAAGGGCCACAATCTTCACCGGGGAAACCCCGCTCGGCTTGGGGTTCTCATGTTCAGTTCTCTCGGTGGGGGCAGTCGTCATGCTGATCCACTGACTCTCGTCCCGGACTTCCGAAACAGCTTGGAACGTTTTGTGCGGTCTCCGAGCACGTTTGCGGGACTGAATTCGGAACGCGTTCATCAGCGCCGTATCGATTTCAGAGGGGAAGAGTCAACATCCGCTCGCTAAGACAATGGATACCACGTCAATGCCGAGTGTACGATCGGAACGAGCATTCGGCGGGGGAGCTCACGGAATGTTTTGCAAGGCAGCTGCTCCGAGCGCTATTTTTCGCAAAGAACCAAGAGCTCCACTGGATGGTTCCCATGGTTGAATCAAGACAGCGAACCGTGTCAAAAAGATCAATTGGAAAGCCGGATCAGAATTTCCGATTTTGTGAGCTGGAGGTCATGTGATTGGCTGCCAAGCATTAGCTCGGCGGTCATAATCGCTGGGGTCGATTCGGCAGAAATCAAGGAAGAGGAGAAGCCGATGAGGCAAAGTGATATTTGATTTTCATCTTATTGAGTCTGCGGAAACAGAAGCTCCCAGAAAGTTGTCTGTCGATCGGGGGGAAAGTCGAAAAATTATGCCCGGTAGCAGATGCACCGTCCCGATCGGTATCTAACCACGTCCGCTCAATCTGACCCTCGAAAATGGCTCCGATTTTCCGCGAGATTCCCTGAGCGAGATCATAGCGATGGGCGTTTGTGTTCTAAGGCGTCATGACAGATTTCCAAGTTCTTTCTCGATATCCCATTCGTATCTGAAGAGTTGCGCTTGGTAGGACTCTGAATGTGATGCGCTATGGAATCGAGGGAATCCCTGCAGGAAAGTCCCGCCGAGATCTCTTCGCAAGTATTCAACTCTGCGAGATTCAGGATAGAGATGGATATCGACAAGGAAACGGCGAGGGGAAGCTCAATCTAAATAGGCGGAAATGTCTCGAGAAATCACATCTGCAGAAACTTTTTTATTATTTGTAGGTCCGACTTCATTCTGTCTGTTCATTCAGTACAATGTCCTCCGGAAATGAGAACAAACTTGAGACGTCCATCATAGGTGTTCTAACACCTGTGCTATATACAGTGCTCACTACTCACTACCATTGCTTCGGTACTCGAGACTCGATTGATTCGATGCCGGTCATTTGCCAGAGCTCCCACGATTCATTAGAAATTATTATTCTCAGTACATCAATCGTTCTAGATGGAGCAGAGAGGTACATTCGCATTGGCTTATGACACCTCGCGTCGATCCTTCATCCTTAGCCCTTCTTCTGTAGGAATGCCGTCCGAGCGCTGTCCGAAATAGTTTGACGCGACTTCGATGAGAGGCGTCGGGTTACTGCGTGAGTGCTCATCCGTCGGCCCGCGGTTTGCCTAGCTGGTTGGCTGCCTGCCTGTAACCTGCTTATGTGTGTGTGACCCACTTCCACTTGGAAGAATGCTTTCCAGAGCGCCATGTAAAACGAAATAAACGGACATTTGCTATCGTTCGAACGATGATTTTGCTTGAAAACGGAATCCATAATCTCCCACGCAATCCGCTCTGTCATTCGCGTGCTCACCGCAGCATGATATGAGGTGTCAAACAAAAGTTACGCACGTCAACGCGTGTTGACGATTCCATCGTGAACGCAAACGACATCGTTGTCGTCGCATCGCCGGCGTCGACAGCACTTTGCTCTGCTCATATGTAGACTTGTTTCGAACAGACGGCAGCCAGCGCCGCTCGGTGCTCAGCGCTGCCGCCTCGTGGAGAAAAACTTCACTTAAGGGTTTCTTTTCCCCAGTTTCCCCTATAGAGCCTTGATGGTCTCCTGGTCTGCGTCGCTCATTCGCGAGTTAACTGCATCACGGGTCGCGGTCGTCGTTCCGTATCCCCACGCTGGGCTTACGGCATGGTTGACATATGATGATACCCTGGAGAAAAAATGAGGGAAAAATTACAATTCTCCGCGTAACGCTCGGAGCGCCTGTGGGATCAGTCGAAGTGTGATTCCAAAGCAGACATCGTCCCATAAAAGCTCGTCCCAAGATGACTCGAAAGCCGAACGCTCAACACGATCATTGGCGATGAAATCATGCAGGGAGTCGCGGAAGGGGTTCGCGCATCACGGTGTCGTAAGTGGAGGCGATTCAATTAGGTTTCGGAGGAATCGCTGCGTCACCGCGTGTCTGCCTAATCGCCTCACGGATCATTGAAGGTCGATACGGTCATACAAGACAGTAACACAACTTTGCGTCACATCGCGAAAAAGCTTCATGAACTCTTCGTGCGGTTTTACGATCGAGCACTCGCCCAACACCATCAACAGTTTGCTTTCATAACAATTCGGCAATGCTGATGGAGAGGAACATGAAGAATGAAATCTTTACGATTCTCGGAGAAGTTCTCGTTCAAGGCGATTGCTCGAGCTGAGTTCCGAAAAAGCTTCAGCGCTGATATTTTGGAACTGCTTCTTTCACCCGACCGTAGCAGACACCCTTCTCATTTTGTTAGAAGTTTTCCATCTCATGCGTGCCGTCAAAGATGGCTGAATACAGCAGTGACTTTTCCGAATCCCTATCCCGATTGCCCCTCGCGGATGACGACCGGGACTTCGCGGGTTTCGGCCCGAAATTTCAATGAGTCTGCTTTTGGAATGAGGAAAATTCTCTCCTCCCGAGAGCGCGGATGAGCTGACCAACTCACTTGTCCCCGACTTTCCTCCAGGCGTCTCTCCATCCCGTTTGTTTCTGCGAATTTCGGCTGCTAGCTCGGGAGCTGAAAGTGTCTTCGTCTCTCTCATAGGTTTCTTTGCGGAAAAGTTGCTCGTTTTCTTCGGCTGCCGCTTCGCTCCCCATGCAAACTCCGTGTTGTCTGTCTGTGAACATGGGCTCTTCTTCGTCGGATGACGGTCTGCAATGGAAAAATGCAAATATAGACGAACGGTAACGAAACGCGATCGGCGGGGTCATCGATGATTCCGCTCAGCAGAGAGTCAAATAGAAATCACATGAGGAAAGCGAACGAAACTTCAATCGCGGTCAGACGTAGACGTTTCTGATCCATGGCGAGCCGCATATAGTTTCGACACGGAAAGTCGTTCAAATGTTCTTCTCGGTTCCGACTTGCCGGTCACAAGGACGTATTGGGTCAGCTCTTGAATTAGGTGTTGGTACCGTTTCAATATTGTCGATAATGGGTGTCTGTGTTTCAGCAGATCCAACATTCGGTAATTCGCGATCGAACAAGAGTTCCTCGATTCTCAAGGACGTTGAAGTTTGCGACTCAGTCAGAGGACGTCGAACTCGTCAGACGGGGCTCCATTTGCTTCTTCAAATGCTTCGCTATTCAGTCGAGGGAAAATTCGTTGAACCTCGCGCATTGTCTCGGAGGAAAAGCGAAAAAAACGTGGCTTCTGAATTTCGGATCTGCTCCCGCCGCTGTTGTTGCCTCCGCCGACGTCGTTGGTCGTCAGTACCACCGTCATAGGCACCATCTGGCCGTTTCGAGCGAAGTCGAGAAACGCTACTGACTTCGTCCAGAACTTCACGAGCCGCTGAGCGTTCGCTGGCTCGCAAAGCAACTGGCCTAGCAGCGAGACACACGGGGCCACCAAGTTAGTCATTCAAGTTGCCGAGCCACGCGGCTCTGCCCGGCATACGAGCGACGAAGGAAGATGACGCCCTCTTCGGGGACCGGGGCCCTCCCTCCCGTGCCGACGCATCTTCTCAGTAAGAGCTATTCACAACGTTGTTCAGCCTCCTCTTCCGAACAGTTTCTCGCGCAGATAACAGAAGGAACGCTCCTTGAATCGTGCTGCAGCAAAGCACATCAATTCGTCAAGCCACATCATAGACCGGAGGAAAGCGAGACTAACTAGATTTTCAGCTGTGTCACGGCCACAACACAAACGCGCGAACAATTTCAACTGGAGTCAATCGCTATGACTGGATTTCCTGTGTATGTGCCATCCGAGATTCTTATGGACGGATACGGGCGAAAACAGACGATAGTTTCCCCGTTTCCACGTCTCCGTGAGGACGTAGTCGAGATAATATGATTCCGGAAACGGAATCGAGAGCGCGGATCCGGACGCGAGAAATTAAGTTTTGTCTGATTTCTTCTGTCGCCGCAAAACCCATTGGAGCACGATGACGCTTATCTCATTCAGATTCCGGGTCTAAGGGGAGTCAGTTGAGAAGGACGTTTCTTTCGACCGAGTTCTGAGGGGCTACCCAGCGGGAAATCTGAATTCTCGGAGGGAATCGATTCCGAGACATTTCCCAGTTGAGCCCGGGAGGACGTGGGAAGGGAGGAGGACGGAACTGCTGAATTTCGAACTTGGCCAGAGAAGCCGATCAATTCGCATAGGCGAAAAACTTAAGTGAGGAAGACGTAGAAGCAGAAAATGACGAAGCGGCGAGAAGTTTAGTTCGATCGCATTCTCCGACAGCGACAAAAGATCATTTTCCTTTCTGCGGCTACGAGACAACCATCGAGCAGTGATTCTGAAATTCTCTTCTCCGGCAGACCCGCTAAGGAACTCAAAGTCTTCCGCAATTGTCTGCCGACGTCACTCCCATCCGATCCGCTCGAAAATAAAGCCACGGTGAGAGAATTTCGAAGAGTGGGACCGCGATGAATGAATTTGAAGAACTCGGATCGTTAGCTTCGGGGAATATTTCCCCTCGTGAATGACGGCACCGGACGCCATGGCGTATTTCAGCAGCGAATTTGAACGTGACAGATCGCGTGTCCGAGAAACGCAGATGCGGTGGCTGGCGAGCCGGCCACCGGCTCCGTCAACACATCGACGAAGGCCAGTCCGCGGTTCACTTATATCGCTGGACTGGCAAGCTGTGTTGGGTCCAGTCGAACTTCAAGGTTCCGATCATTCGATCGAGTCAATGAGTGGACACCCAACTTATTCAGGTGCGTCAGCGAACCACTTCAAATATGGCGATTTGCGGCCATGGCAGGTAAGTTTCGTCCCATCGACGATCACGTTCGAAAGCTACAGGCTTCTCATCGGGGGACGATGCTCACAAGAGTGGATTTTCCTTTCGGAATGACGTCGCCGGTAACAACACTCACAGCGAAGCGACTGGTCGCTCGGACGGCGTGCTCTGTGAACCCTTATTTGGACGACATCAACGACGACAATGCTGATGCTGATATTCAAGGAGTTCTTCTCGAACCGCTATCGTTGCGCGGCTTCCGCCAGACATTTCCTCGAAAATTCTCAGTACTGAGAACCTTCGTCCAATTTGAATCGCATCGACCGAGCTCACCGGAAAGGTCTAAATTTGAAGGGACATCCCACACCCGCGGTGAGAGATTCTTGTCCCTTGACGGCAAGACATGTGTGATACCGAACCAAACATGCGGTTTCCCGGTTTCGATTACGTTGCCTGCACGTCAAGCGATCGCGTTAATTCAGTTGGTAGAGTTGCGGCTCGATCTGATCGTCTTTTCGATGGTCTGTCTTCGAACAGCCTCACAGTATATTCGGTCGCCGTCTGTCCGTCGGTCTGTCTGTCTATCTGTCGGTCGCTTGTTCGCGGGTGGGAATGTGGATGCTGAGACACGTCTCACGGTTCCGTTATCGGCGTCAGGTCCATCAGTCGTTCAACAAGCTCAAACTTCGAGTTTCTCGTATGTTATGTAGTTGCGCACCGGATTCGCTCCACAACGACAAGCGAGTACAGCCGATTTTCCCCTTAGTCCGAGAGCCTGGCAGAATCCGAGATGAACTCGACATTGAGCAACGCGGCCATCAGTCCCGAACGTCCGCTCTGCCCAGGATCAAACCGGTGGGGGCACATCTCGCGAACTGCTTTGTTTTATTCTGGCTATTCCAGTTCCACGGTCGCTCTTCCATGTTTCAGAATCGGAAACGACTCTCTCAATGTGTCGCCCAGAGGATCCAAGCGCATTCCAGACCGCGAAGCTGCAGGGACGAATTGCATCAATAAAACACCCATAGGGACAGTTCGTCGAGGCAAAATTTTCATCTGATCGGTAAGCTCTGTGGCTAGCGAGTCGCTCCACCGTCCGTCCGAGCAACCGACCGACCGACCGACCGACGATCCATTCTAGCTATTCGTCCAGCCACCCACTCACATATTCACTAACTCAAAGCCAGAGGAAGCTTCCATGGCGCGTCTTGACTCGAAACGTCGGTTGCTCACCCGTCTCGCTCCTTTTTCTATTGTGTCTCAAATGTATAAGTTGTTCTTCAACTCACCCAGAAAAAAATAACCCAACTCGCAGGGCAGCCAGGCATGGGTAGGGGAGCTCGGAAAAATTGTCAGAAGAGAGGCTGTAGCGATGAAACCTCTGTTGTTGGCTCGTTTGTCCATCTGTCCGCCAGCCCGCCCGCCCGCCAGTTTATTCGTTCGTCCACTCGTTCGCTTTTCTGGATATTTGTCGGCAGCGAGTTGTCATCGGAGGGCCCGATCATTACGAGGCCGAGCTCAACTATTTCAGGCCGGAGCGCCTTCTCTGTGGCAACGAGGAACGATTTTCCTCCAACGAGCATTTTTCCTGTTCATTCTCCTCGCCGAGCGTCTCGCTATTCTCTGATGGAGTCGATAGTTCCCGAATGAGAGACAACAGGGAAGGTTCGGGGGATGATAATTACGATTCTCGAATAGGTCGGCATATTCGATCATCTCGATTTTCAATTGTTTTCCCGGAATCCACTGCTACACGGTTCTCTTTCAGCCCATATCTCTTTCATCGTCTCACACACACAGCGATTGTTCTCCAGTTCGGACTTTAAAGCTGAAATTTGTTCGGCCGTGGATGCTGCAAAGCTCGCAGCATTTTTATCGTCGTTTTTCTTTTTGTAATACACTCGTCTCCCTCTGGACTTGCTACTCGCCCGGAGCGAACGAGAACCATCCTCGGTCTCCGGTCAGATTCGAGGTGGATCTTTCAGCAAGAGGCAACGTCAAGGTAGCCGGAGCCAATCTACCGCTTGGAGGCTCCGAACAAGCCACAGACCCTTTGTTTGAGGGCCCCCGCAGAGGAGCCTCTCCGTACAATTTCTTGCCTCTGCAAAGAGTCCTGGGCGCGAACTCCGAAGCGTCGGAATATTCGGAGCTCCATATGAATTTCTTTCCATCACATGTTCCCCGCGGGTCTCAGGGAATCAGATATTCGGGGTAGGTCCGCAACGCCCGTACCCCGTTCCGAAGAGCAAGAGAGGACTGATCGCGTCCTAATGGAACTCCGTGAAAAATTTAGCCTCTGCGATCAACTCACCTATGGTAATCGGCGACAGCTTTTTTGCGAAACATCGTCAGGTCCGTCTGTGGGGCCACTCAAGTAACAAATGCGAGGAAGAATTGCACGTTGTGTGAACTGCCGGCAGACAAGTTGGCGCTTCGGCAGTCAGTCAGCTCGGCTGACGGTTGTGCGCGGCTCCAGAAGGCCTGCGAGAGTTCTATTTGGGCGAGGGTTCCGTGAATTTGTGACCATTTGCGAATTCTTTGATACATTGTTCGTACTTGATCGCCTATGCTCCCCATGAATTTCTTCTTCTAGCTACCGATACGCTCGTGCTCCCTTCAATAGAGTTGCGAAGCATGTGTTTTCACGCCAGGGGAACTCATTTGATGGAACAGAGCGGATGCCCGCTGGCCCCTTCGAAATTTGCTCCCTCGTCGCAGTCCTGACTTGAAATTGTTGACCAAGAGATTCCCTCGGAGCTCTCTGACAAAGTGCTCCCAAAGGATTAATCCATCAATCGGATATTTCATGATTGAACCAGATGAAAAGTTAGGAGCTCGGAGTCATTCACAACTTGCTCAACTTCCGGTCCGCTGTGACTTTGACGCCGAGGAAGTTTCGGGAAAGCGATCGAGGCTCCTCAAAGATAGGCTAATATACGGAAGCAGAAGCATCACAGAATGCACAGCGTCAATCCCATTCTCAGGCGCGGCGACGGTAGCGGCAAAATGTATGCTGTGCTTACAATCACAAATTATTAAAATAGTCCCTGATTGACGATTAACGCGAGTAGGCTCCCGAGGGAATTCGATCGGCTCGTATCTAGAAGGACCCTGGTCAATAGAGGCTTGGCCCGACTCGAGTCGCACAGCAACCTTCGAGGGACTGGAGCTCGGGTACCGCTATGTCCTGGGGAAACTACAGCGATCGCCTGGAACGAATTGAATTTCTGCTGGGGTCCCGGAGCCCGTGAAGAATACCAGCATGTGGACCAGCAACCTTCCGCATTATACAACGACGGTGAGGTCCATGCGATGGAATATAGGTCCGTCGCTCTGACAAGGCGGGCTCTCGCCTGGATTTGAATTCCGCGACCTCGTGTCATTCATAGGCTTCGGCTCCAACAACTTGAAGGATCTATGTATCATTCACCTCTTTGAGACTCTTCATCCGTAGAGGGATCTCGTGTGAGGGTTCCACTGTGATGGGCGACCTGGAGACGAGTGAGCGCTGTAGTATTCCATTATCCGGGCCATTTTCCGGAAAGTTCGGTAATCGAGGCGAAGCTAAGGAGTCTCCGATGAGGTCCTACCTCGCCAGAGGATCATGGCCCACCAGCAAGGAGTAAGTCCTGGATTGAAGATTGCAACCTGATACCTCCCCCAAAACTATCTTCTCACAAGATCCTCATGTGGCTGCACTTAATAAATGATGTCCATCAAACGTCAAGGAGTCCGTGAAATTAAAAATAGAGGGGACGGCCAAGAAGTTGGTACCGAAATTTTGCCAGAAGCTCCAAGCACTTTGCAAGCCCGAAAATGTAAGCGGTGAGTGAGCGCAGCTGTATCAAGCTGATGACGCTCATGACGAATAAAAACTTCTCCGCGACCTGACAATTTCTACTGGGTCGTGAGAAACACTCCCTCTTCATAGAGCTCGTGAAACCTCTGAAGACCCCGGTGGAGCCGTTCTCTCAGGCGCAACTCCCTTCCTCAGTCTTGGAGTCGGAAAACGTCGGAGCGCGTTTTTCGGGGCGGCCCCCCTTCCTTCGACGCGAAACAGTCACGTGCCCGCGGGAGAGGAGATCGAGCTCGGTGTTGCGTTTGCTGGGTCCCAGGTTGTTATGAGACGTAAAATATGACCCTTCTTGAAAACGATGAGTTCAGTCTCTGAGGCTTCGTGGAAGTGGGGAACGACAGCCGGGATTCATGTGGTCCTGATCGGATCGGGACAAGGATGACGGGATCCAATTCGATCGGGAGCCCTAGGGGCCAGCCGGCGGTCCGCCTGCCGTGATCTTCGACGCGTTCCTGGGTGACTTTCCCGATCTTTTGAGACATCCGCGCTCAAATATCATATGAATCGTAGTTTCGGTATAGGAGAGGCGGGGATCTCTGGTGGCAGGCAAAAGTTCTCGCGATGATCCCTTACGATGCTCACTGCAGTGCTTGACTTGGCGAGCTCAGGCGAATTCCAGGGAACTGATTCTCCCCGAATGCGGTTCTGGCCGGAGACAGGTAGAACTCCGGGCCCTGATTGGTGTGTATGCCCTTGTGAACTCGAGGAATCGATGGAACGAATTATGTTCTCGCCCTTGGATACGGAAGCTCGAATCAAAACCGAAGATAGGGGTTATTCAGGTTGAGCCAGCGTGGGAACCAGCAGACATTCGGTTTCCTCTGGCGGAGGGGAATCAACTCGGCGGAAAGAAATTCTCCTGTCCTCTGTCGTAGATTATGCCACTCGCGTATGGGTGCCAGTGCTCTACGTGAGCACTTATCCCACGGCAGACGTGGTGTGAAGCGAGCCATCGTCACCTCGTTTGGATGACCAGTCACGGATCACGGAGTGAACCCTTCTCCGATTCATCACCGCCGATTCATCACCGTGACTGTCGATCGCGTTGCTCCTTGAGCTTTCCGAAGCACAAGACTCGCGCGCTCTAACCAGTAGTCGGCGCCGGCGCTGCCCCGGCATATCGTCCCTACCACGAGCGTTCACGAAAGAAGTTTTTTGCGATTGATGGAATCCGTGGAAAGCTCCTTGAGGATCTCAACTCGAGCAGATCTTACGCACCTTGATCACGGACTCGAATTCGATTCTGTCTCCCTAAATGTCCCTGATAGCGGGGGAACATCCTCAGGAGGTTCGCGACGAACTTCTAAAGAAGTCCAAATGGGTGGCTGGATCTCAGCTAGATGAGCTTGTTAGACAGGCTCGTCAAGACAGACCATGAGTTCGAGATTACTCTGGGGACTCGCAGAGTCCTCTTATACACTGACTGAGATGGTCTTCCAGGCCTCACCCAAGGTGATTCCCTCTCCCCGTCTGAGGCGTCCAAGAACTTCACCCTTGAAAACTCGGAACAGCATATTCTGGGATTCGCGAGGCTCTATTCTATACACCTCCGAGCCTGCTCTGAGCTCTAACCATTCGGCTCTCGCCGGCTCTGGAGCTCGGTGCTCTCGGGTCGAGAACTAGGGCTCCGCCCAGAGAGGACATCAGCGACAGACGCCTAGATTGCTGATCATGTATAACTCTGGACCTTCAAACACGGAGCTTGGGAAGATCCGTCTTCCCTGCTTGTCCTCGTGGCGCAGTCGCATGGTGCCCCGTGGGTTTGCTTCCGTTGTATTGGCTATGCTTGGGGTTTCCAAAGGACCGCGGTTCCTGGACTCGCCATAATTTGCGGCTCCAGTTTGACACGGGGCGTCGATGGAGAACTGCAAGGAACGTAGGCGAGGAACGCGATTCTCAGAAAAATTAGCAGTTTTGTGGAAAGCCTAGTTATGCAACGATCCGATGTAATCACTCCTCTCGATAGGGGTTCGGGAAGGCTTGAAGATGACGTGCTATGATCTCGAAGCAGTGAAGCAATGCAAGCTCGTTCGGCATCGAGTCGACGGGTGTGAGGAGGCTTTACTGCCTGTCTCGAAACTCGCTCGCATTGGGATAGGGTTGTACCACCAGGGACGAGAGTCCTTGGATGTGGATCGGCCCTCGACGCACCGAGCAGTATCGTATATCAGCGAATTTGCGAATTTGCGCTCCAGGCTCAAGGTAGTACTTATCCGTGCCAGAGGATCGAATGAGTTCGACGAGGTTTTTGAGTCAACGGATTCCGCGACGAGTGGCTGAGCGGTTGGAGCGCCTCGCACGTCTCATGGATATTTGCACGGGGCACCTCCCTTGTCGCGGGATGCTGTATCGCGTAAAGTGTTGCTGGTTCTGATTCGGAAGTCGAGGGTGGGGTTTCATTAGATCATACGGTGTTCTCCGTCATATCTGTCCTGTAGAATACGACCGGATCCGTCTTATCGAACATATAAAGTTGAACTGCGATCGAGCGCAGAGGAGTGGGGCAGCTGTCATGAGAGAAATGAATCGAGAGGAGCCTTTGTCTGCGATTGAGAGGAAGCCGAAGTAATTCGACGCATAAAGAATGAGCGGTATCCTAATTGAACCTTCCGTCGGAGACGCTGAGAACGCGGTGGTTCCTATAATACTTAGTATGAGCATTTGGAAAGGGTCATGAATGCGATCCGGCTCTAACGGGAAAGTGCTGCACAGATCGATAGAGTTCGAGATAGCTCTCGCGTTTTGAGTTTCTGACAAATGTTTATTTGACTTTCCGGGCAATTGAGCTCTCCCGACGGCACTCCCGGTCGTATGAAAACATCATTGGAATGCTTAGGATTCAGCAACTGTCTGCAGTCATTTCGGGGAGCTGTTCGCCTCTCGATCCGGGAATTTTCATACCCACCTCATGCGAGGATCTTTGGGACTGTATGCTTCAGTAAAATCTCGTCACAGCAAATTGCCAGAATAACGAACATTCCTCCCCGTTCGATTCCTGGCTCTCCATAGGAATAGTGTTCAAAATTCTTCGTTATATCGACTTTCCGCTGCATCGACCAGATTTTGTTGGTAGCGCGAGGTTCGTTGTAATGAAGTTCTCCCGTATACGTTCCTCCCGAGCTCCTGCCAAGCAATCACGAACGAATCCAGCGTCGGGGAATAAAAAGACTTTATGGACTCCTGCTCAATTTCTTTCAGGATTCCTAGCCTTGAGATAACAGGGACTCCCCTATACATTGTACATAGCATCCAGCCTCACGGTGGAACTGATGAGCCTCAGCAGACGTACGGTTCCTCCCCCATCTCGATTTCGATTCCATCTCTAGCTTGGAAGAGAGCGTTAGTCCGCGATTCATAATGATTCCAGTTCCTGAAAGTATTGAATCGGAGACTAGCTAGCCGGAATTCCGACTGGAAGATTCTTACCCACGGTGTCTTCTGTATCTGATGTAGATTGCGTATAGAACAGCGCAGGCACTGGTCAAGCCGAAAACTGCGAGAAGACCGTCCCAGAAGTAGCCTTTCCCACGGGATCCTTCGAGACAGGATGGGAAAAATCTCTCCAGTTCTCGAATTCGGATGAAGCATGCTTGATGTTTCGCTCACGGGAAGCCTTGCTCAGAGTTCTATTATTGCGACTCGGGATTCGAATCCAACCTACCTGTTTTCACCTTTAGCGTAGATCCGGGCGATGTGAGATGCTTCCCATTTTTGTTTATGTTGTACGCGCGAACCTTCACGACGTACGCAGTGTCTTCATCCAGGTCTTCGAATTTCCAGTCCAGAGTGGTCGAGGGACGATCGACCCAATTATTATCAGACGAGGCCTCGTTTTCGGAGTTTATGATGATTAATTCGTATCCATGAATTGGGCCTGCCGGTTTTCCGGGAGCGAGCCAGCGGATGGAGATACTTTCTTCGAGCTTCTCCACCAGCTGGACTTCAGGAGCGGAGGGATCTTCAATGAGAAAGGGGAAATGATCGACTGACCGGATATTTGTCTCGGAGGCGATTGACTCTGATGAGAAGGAAAGCCGAAGATACGCACAGCCCACGTCGGTCTGGACTACGAATTTCATCGAGAGCCGACCGCAGGATTCCTTGGATGTTCCAGAGCAGCTCGCAATACGTATTGCGTACTCTGCATCAGGTTCCAAATTTTCGAGCAATAGGTTCGGCTCCGTAACGAACATTTCCACGCTTCCTTCCCGCGAAGCAGTGGCGTCTTGCTCAATCAATGTCGCGATGATGCGATACTGGAAGATCGTGAATCCCTCTTCCTCCGGAACTGACCACCGGATTCCGGTCCCGTTCGAGAGTTCAACTTCCTCTACGCTTTTCGGAGGTGACGGATCTGCGGTCGTGGTGAGCGGAGGTTCGTAAGAATCAAGGGAGGAGGGGCTGAAATATCGAGCCGCATTGAATTCCGTTTCGAGCTCAGCGTGGAACGTTTCGGAACTCGGTTCGAAACTCCGGGAAACGCGATGTACAACAGGATCTCCTCGTCCGCTTTCTCGACGGACCTCTATGGGAAGAGGGAGCTCTCTGCGGCTGTTCATGCTGAGGGAACATTCCACTTACGGATGGCGGCGAAGACGGTGCGAGCTTCAGAAGTCGCTCTGATCGCTTGTTCATCGAAGTATTGACAAACGGTGCTGACTGTTATATTATGAAGAACAAAGGGTTTGAACTCTGTCAGTAGCGTTCGCGTATCGTGGGGTAGCCGATCATATGTGAAACAAGGAAGACCATGTATGTCGGGGCAAACTTCAACCAAGAAGTGACAGTCTCTCGGATCGAGCGGGAGAATTACATCCCACCGGAGACTGATGCCGAGGTCTGTGATATCGACCAAATCCACGAGCGGTACCAACGCCTCTGCAGAGGAGATCAACAGAATTGAGCGGATCCCGGGAACTCGTTCGTTCTATCGGTTTCTCCTTAATTTAGGAGTTTCGGTGGTCGTCTGGAAGGGTTGACTCCTGTACTGGCCCTCGTGATATTCTTTGAACATGCTTCCCCTGACGGTGTAACGCGAACCCGCGGTCAAACCGGAAAACTGGTACTTTCCCTGCACAGTCCGATATAAGGATATAGTTTGCCGTAGCGGAAATCGTGCTGCGATGGTCCCCTCCCGGCTCGCCGCATCTTGTTTCTCGTTCAGCTCGGTTAGATCCCATTCTGTGAGAACACTGTTCCCTCCAGGAGCTATGGTCAGCTCATCCAAGGGGAGTAATTCTAGATGCAAATCGGAAACGAAAATTGTCCGCGAGATGGAGTTCCGGTCATCGTGAGAGCTGTGAGAATGCGCTCGGATTCGTCTCCGGGAGGGAGACAGGAGAAACGGTCGGTGTACAAGGAAATCGGAACGCACCTCCAGGCCCGGTCTCGATCGCAATGGGATCGACTTCGAGAATCTCCCCGGATGGACACTCGACTCGCAAACGAACGCTGTAAATGCTCCAGAACAACAGGGGAAATCCATGGTGTTGGAGACGGATCGCTCCATTTTGGTTGCGATCCGAACTGAAAGAGCTGCATCGCAATTTGCGATCACACACCTCGAAGTGGTAAGGCTGCGCGAAGCTTTCATCGCAAGGCGCTGCCTTCCACGAGAAAAATATGGACACGTCGGGCCCCGACACCTGTTGTCACCAGCTCGGATCCGACACCCAATTTCCTGCCAGCAATAAGGCATGCATTAATCGAGAATAGACTTACCACGTGTCAAGCTGATCTCCTGAACTTACCTTCGGCACAGACTGCCGCAAGGATTGAAGCGAAAACGAGGAAAGTTGTGTTCCTGGAGAAACTCATGTCGACATGACAAGATCGGCCCACGCTTAGTGAAACTGAGAAGCGAGTAAGTGAAAGCGAGTTTTCACATCCATTTGACTCTTAATCCAGCTTATCAGTTTCAATCGGATAAGTCTGTGTTCTCCAAAGCTTTCTATCTCCTGCTCCAGATGAATACCCACCTCGCCTCGGAATGCCGTGCCAATAGTCTTGGATTCCAATACCCGGGAAGGCAACTTCACACCACGACAGCTCCCCTGATTCAAGGGAGAACTCTCCGGAGCGGATCTTCAAGACCGTGAGCGAGGTGGACGCAGGGCGCCCGACTGGCACGAGCCGATGGATATTCGTTGGGCTCAAGCATAATGGATCGGAATATCTTGCCGACCCTGTGCGGAGAACAAATAAGTTCCTCCAGCCTGATACTCTTAGGCCTCCATGCCCGGAATAGCGAGCTCGCTCGTCGTCAGATCCTGTGCATTGACATTCATCCTTTGGATTACTGTGGATCCTGTCCACCCGCTCTGTATGACTGCAAACGAGCCCTCGATCCTGTCGGCCGGACTGCAACGTCTCGAAACTCTCATTGTCAATTTTCAAGAGACCTCATGGCATTCGGATATCCTTCATTTCGTACGATCAATCCCTTTGATCATCTGACTCAGTGTTGCCTTAGCAGGAATCTCCCCCGCCTCGAAATCCTGTTCGGGATGCGGGGAGGAAAATGGAAAGAGGGGAGAGATCGCCGATACGTAGGGGCAGCCGTCTCGCTCGCAACTCTTGTAAAGTGTGCTATTTAGAGAAGAATTTCATCCATAGTTTCAGTGGCTTATGAGGATAATCCGAAAAGTGGAGTTCATCCCTGTTTGTCTCCCGTTGAGGACATCAGCCTGGGAACCCTTTCTTTACTGGGACAAACGAAGGAGACTTCTCGCTGATCAGGGGTCGTAAGATACGGCGGAGGAATTCTGGATGATTCTGGTTGCTTCCCTCTCTGGCCTCACAAGACAAGTGGAACAGCGCAATATATTCTTGGGAAATATCCTCGTGATGCGTAATCTATTCAAGCTTGAATTAAGGAGACCTATCGAATACAAGGGCTCAAATCGACGGAAGACGGTAAGACTCTATCCAATTCTAACGAGCCGATACGATGGAAGAATGATCGAATGAAAACGTGAAATGTGAAATAGTTAGAGGTGCTCATGCGGCACCTCGCCATCTTCCCTCACAGATCGCTACTCGCACGTCCGTTTTCGGATTCATCGGATGATCAAAGCGGTCGCAGGATCCGAGACCATCCTAGCTCGTTGGAGACATCTTAGGCCCCAATGAGTTGCTATCTTCGGTTGTCAAATACTTCAGACCGAAATCCGCAGGGAACAATCTCAGCAGGGTGAGTGAGTTAGCATTCCTCTGCATGCAACAGGAGTCGATTCTGGTTCGAGGCCTACCGGATGATTTCCGATGAGGGCCATGTATTCGGAAACATTTTTAGAACAAGGCTCCCTCGTGCATGCTCCGCAGACGGACGTGTGGAGTAGATCAGCTGACCTAATGCCGAGACCCCGGAGCATTCACGAATTTGAGGAAATTTCCACCTGCTGACGATATCTTATTTTTTCCATGATGAAGATCCCTTGCGTTGTGCGGAAAGCAATCGATGGGAGCAGACTCTGGCTCATGGTTTATGACCGATCCAGTGAAAGAGCTCGAATCTGCTGGGGAATGCGCCAAGGAGACGGCCCACCTCGTCGATCCCTTCCTTCACGGTTCGAGGCGACGTCGAGACAGAGATTACTTTTTGCATTGCGTTTCGTGTCAGCTCCTATACTTGATCCTATTGCTTGCGCGAATCGTGTTCACGGAGCTCTTCTTGAAGGGGGCTCCATCGGCTCGATGCCTATGATGCTTAGCGGTGAGCCCGCCCTGGACGATGTTTGTCCGGCGCAGGTGTGATGTCCCTATGAACCTCACGGTCCCAGTGGCGATTCGCAGTCACAGTATTATCTCTGTACGGTGGCCTCGAATGTCTTCATGAGCAAAATCTTCGTGTTGCTGTGGTTTCTATTCGCTATCGGTCTCAGGGCTGCAATTTACCAGACCGTATACTCGATCGCACCCTTGTCTTCCATCAGGACGCAGCGTAATTTGTGCGACGATAGCGAGTTCTTGGATAACCTGACGAATTCACCCAGAGACTGCCATCTCATGAAGTTTTTCCGGGAGAGCCTCGATCGTGTGACTTACGCAGAATTCGAAGGTCAAGCGCTGCGGAGACTCGCTGAGGGGGGAGAGACCCGAAAGGGTTTTAACATTGAGAATGCTTGGAAACGAACATTTCTCGTATCCCGCAACCGGACCGTTATCGGGAAATATTCTAGTTCTGGAGCACAGTCGACATTTCGGCATCCAGGCTCTCTCATGAGGTCTCCGCATGCCTCCGGTGTGGGGTGGGTAAGGAACTTCAGCGATCACGCCTACTTGATCCGATATTCCCGAGGACCCGAGGACCGAATAACCGGTACCATCTGTCGGATCTCGTCCTTCTACCGAACATTGAAACCAACGGTCCGATTGCTTTGCGATCTTGTCGAAGAAACTGATAATCGCCAAAGTCAGACGAAGGACACAACTCTATCATTGAATTTCTGTCTAGCTTCCCCATCTTGGAACTCTGATGCTATCCGAGCCGCTGACGATGTGAGCCTGAGGAATGCATCGGATGCCGCTAGGAATCTCGACCAAAAGAGGATCCCAAATCCGAAGAACGATATTTAATTTAATTCAATATAAATGTATAATCATTCTTGCTCTGGAATTGATGCGTTAGCACAGGGGCGAACTCATTTCCAGCCACCGAGCCATCCTTTGACCAAGCCCGTGAGACCCGCACCTTGCTGTTCCTTGCGGGTCTCCGTCTCTTCATCCAGGTCGGGGAAAACCACGTGGTTCAGAGCCAAATCGAAGAACAACGGTTTGCACGCACAAGCTTCGAAATCCGGCGGATAGCTCACGAGTTGCGTTGGATTCTTCTCGTCCGTCAGATTCGGATCCTCGTAGTACTCGTCCAGTCTTTCCAAGAGGGGTCGTCCTCCTGTAGTGTCCTTGATTTCCTCAGTGACCTCGTGGGCCGTCGCCTCTCCCCCGAGGATACTTTGCGCGTGAACGAAATACATCTCGGCTTCGATCTGGCTCTGGAGCTTCTGAACTTCTTCAGTTGTGGTTTTCGCTTTGGACGAATACTCTTGGGCCCGGACGGCCATTGCGAGAGCTTCCGGATATTTCCCCAAGGCGGTCAATGCTCTAGAAATGTAATAGGCCCGGAAAGCTTTCTGGAGGAGCATTTCGTTCTCAACATCTCTGTAAACCTGGGAATCCGGTTCGACGCCGGGAAGTTGTTGCATTTCCTGAAGACATTGTAGGATCACCTCGTAGAGACGAACCATGTCTTGAGGCTTGTTATTCTTCGATCGCAGGATATCTATCATGGCCACGTTCCTGTCGACAGTGGCGCGAAGTCGTAAGTAGATTATGTACGATTGCAAATACTGGAGGGTTGTCAGACCCGTAGTCTCCACCAATTTGTTCGCTTCCTGAGCCTTGACGTCGTCTCTCAGGATCTGCAGGCAGTCCTTTAGTTCGAGGAGGAATCGCTCGTAGATGGCAACCTTCTCATCCATACTCTTGCACTGTTTGAGCTCTTGACCGCATTCATCCCAGGAGATCAACAGGATTTTCACTTTTTCCTGACGGACTGGAATCGTTTTCCCGAGCCATTTAATCTCCTTGAGCGTCACGGCTTGTTTCGAGCGTGTTTGAGCGATCAGCGTCTGCGAAAAAACACGGGATCGTCTATGAGTTTCGAGTTTTCGGGTCGTCGATGCTTTCAATAGTTCCGGGGGCGCACTCAAATCATGCGAAGACCGGTATCCGCGGTACCGGATGCAGAAATCATCAATCGCCAGATGTAGGGAAATAATTGGTCCTTCGGACAATGAAAAATGGGAGGGACAGGCCGATATGCGATCAAAGATAAACTTACATCCAAGTTGTCCATTCCGCTTTTGCCTTCACGGCGGAGTTTCTTCAGATCCGACATCGCGCTCTTGTCTCCAATATTGTATGCGCAATACCTCAGGTTTGGAGTAAGGTCTTCCACGCGCTGTTGATACAGCACGCGTTGATCTTCGATCAGAGCCGATCCCAATTTCTCGTAGATCGTCCTGCAGGGGATCATAGAATTTATTGAGCTTCGCTTATGGGGTTTCAGGTACGAACGATGGATTGAATTAGATGAGGTGCGTGTCGAATCGAAGACTCCGGTAGCGATGCGAGCGAATGGGTACTCACTGGGCCGTACTATAGGCATCCATGGCTTCTTTCCATTGACTCTTCTCGAATAGATAGGTTCCCTTCATGAACGCTGCGTAAGCCTGACATTCGAGTTTGCTGCGGGCATCGCAAGTTTCGGACTTCGTGCACAGGTCACTGAGTTCTTCGGCATACTGAACCGCTTTCCGCAGTCTCCGTCTCAAGTGGAACTTCTTTCGAGGCTCCGTGCTGCACTCGTGACGAAGTTGCATGGCGTAACCCCAGCACCGCTCAGCCTGGAAAAGTAACACATTTATCTCACCGGGAAATATGCGGGGCTCCGGAATTCCCTGATTTCGAGTTCCATCTTTCCGAGCCTACCTGCATCAGGACGATGCACGGGTACCGGAGGTCGCCCGTCTTGGCGAGGATCTCATCCGTGATCGATTTTGGGTTGTAGCGGTTCTTGGTTCCCTGAAGGAAATTCAAGGCACATCGAAGTCTCCTAATTCTCCTCGAACAATAGCTACGATAACGCTGGAAGTCATCGTGTCGGAGACCGTGTTTCTGCTGAGCCTCTTTCACTACACGCAGAACTGGAAAGAAATGTCTCTGATAGGGGACAGCAATTTCTCCGAATCACCTACTGCCATCTCAGAGAAGGCTCCCAGGCGATTTCGAACGATCTGATGCATAGGAGGGAGCAGATGCGGGAATCGGGAACCATTGGCTATCAGGATTTGATTGTATTGGAACTCGGAGCAATGATGGAAATAATTTGAGCCGTCGTTTGTCCAACCATATGCTCGTGGATGTGTGGTTCAAGAATTCTCGCTACTTCTTCGGTTGTGCTTACCCTCGAGCGTGATGATCTTCGGCTCATCTTGCTCCTCTTCCACCATGGGTTGGTTCTCCTTATCATCTTCCATCTCACAAGAACTAAATACAGTCCCTTGATATATATTCGAATCGGCGATCCGGTAGTTCAGAACGTGGTTTCTGGCCTGAGCCTGTCTCACGGCTTGTCGTCGACGTTCCAACGCGGCAAGCGGAAAGAGACGACCATAACACGGGAAACGCGATCTGATTTTGGTCCGTGTCGGGGATTCGCTCTACAGTGGGCGGAAGCTCACATGCGACAGGGTAGAGAGCGAGGACTGGGACAGGGCTAATTCTTCCGAAAGAGACCGCATATCTGATGAAGTCGACCGTTCGAATGATGACTGGTTTCGCCAGGTTTCGGACTTTATTTCCTCCGAGATTCGAATGAGGATGGATCCGAGTGCAGTGTTCCTACTTCGGCTTCCGCAAACACTACGACAGTGGGAAAATTCATTTGGGGCCATTGATCTCAAGATAGGGGAGGGGAGGAGGGGTCGCTCTCTTGCGATCAAGATACTCGACTTTGAAATTTTCAGAATGCGGGAGTCCTAATGATGAGTCACGAGGATGATTTTGCAAAATACTTTATTCTCACATTTTTACAGCCTATTTACAACGACACAAAATCGGATTGGATCATTCTCGGGGTGCGAAAGTTGCTCGCACAGGCGATTAGATTCTCCCCTATTCGGAGATCAGTTCACTCCGATCAGGAGAAGCGACCTCTCTTCATTCTTCACAAAATCACTCAAATAATTTGAATACCGACAAATTAATCGCCATCAAACTCAACAGAATTGAAAAAGAAACGGCTCCAAACGGACCGAACTCCTATTCTCGCATCGTACTCATGCCGTACACTGAGATACAGAGGCTTCAGTATCACTCCATCGAAACTGAATGAGATCCATGGAACGTATCAATATGGCAAGGCTTTCTCCGTCTATGTTATCCTAATTGTGAGTCGTTCAGTCGTCTGGATGCTCGCCCGTCTCCGATAATGATAGTCTCTGTTTCGGCGAATTTCTCGTCAGACGCCTTTCGGACATCCGCGTCAGAAAGGCGTCGGCTTTTACCACATTGGGCGAGTCAACACCGACTGCTCATCGTGCCTCGGATCGAAGTTAGGGCACTGCCTATACAGAGGTGAACAGGCGCACTAGAGCCACCTGGTAGCGAGATCAACATAGTTGTGACAGCAGCTTGGCCATCTGCTGTCGGTTCCACCGATACGGGTCGACAGGTCCCCCCGGGAGAATGACTTTCGAAGGCTCGGGTCACTCGTGGGGTGTTTGCGAGATGAACTTGGCTCTTGCTTTTTCTCTTCGACTTGCTGGTGAGCGGAGAGAGCTCGATGAAGCCAAAATCATCGGAGTCTTCTTCTATCGAGTACATGGTCGAGTAGATCTTCGAGAATGGCCGATTAGCCATGTGTTGCATTTCCGCGGCTTGAAGTCGTCGAAGCCGGCGAGTGTCGAGGCTTTGCTTCACTTTCCAGAGAACGACGCACATCGACAAGAACAAGAAGAAGCACGAGAAAAACACCGAGAAGAACACGAATAAGTCAATGCGGGTCTGGTCTTGCCGGAAGAAAATGCTTCCGCTGCTTCCGTTGTGTTCACCGTGGATAATCAGATACAGACGGGTACTTCGGAGATCGTAGACGCTCTGAAACGGAATCGATGTCACCAAAGACAGCCAGACAGAGATTCTAGAGTTCAAATTTCGGTTTTAACATATTTACGTAATCGATGCATGGTTCGTGGGAAACTCGCAGAATGCTTCTCACCTGAGGTATTGTTAAAATTAATCGATTTGTCAGCTTCCGGACGACTATGAGATGATGTGGTTTTTTGATTTCGACATATGTTATCAATCCTAACCCCTCCCGTTTGATGAGTTGGAGCGTGGTTTTGGTGTTACCGGTGTTATCGGCTTGAGCGCTCGGGTACTTGGCGAAAATCTCGCGATTCGCAACGGAATTCACTGAGGACGTTTCGCGACGTCGAGAAATGGTTGTCGGTACGCTTGACGATGATTCTTTGGAATGGTTTTTCGGCTCCACGGGACTCCTCGGAGGCTGGACGTCATCGACGACAACTTCATATTTGGGATCGATAGTGATCAGATGAGATCCGTTTTTATGTTGTGAAACGACAAAAATGTCCTCCTTCGGGCCCAGATGAACGTCCACCTGACCGTATGCGATGTCGATCATTATCCGGATGTTCACGTTCATGTATCTCGGCTGAACCACGAAGAAAACAGGTTTTCCAGGAACGAGAGGTGTTAGGGCTTGGTCAGAATTGCATTCGCCTTGGTTTCCCGGATCAAAGCAATATTCCTGCTCCAGACGCATGTGTCTGTAGCATTGGTGGCCGTTGATTGGGATTCCTTGGAAGTTGTCCTTGCACTTGGCGCATTGCAGGCTCCAACACGACGCGTGTTTCGTTCGGGAATTCGGGCTGCAACTCCGGTCGGTCTCGGTGTTGTTCCGACAGATGCAGCTTTCGCCGGTGAGTTTGTCGCAAGTGTCTCCGTGACCGTGACACTCGCACGGACGACAGCCGTTGACAATGTCACCTTCCTTGACGAAATATCCGTCCTTGCAGAAATCACAGGTTTTCCCGGTCGTGTTGTCCGTGCAGTTGAGGCACACAGCCGTCTGGAGCGGGCCAGGTTTGCTTTGGGCGATTTTCCGCAATTCCTCATAGTCTGCTTTTGTGACGTCGTCCAGGGAGGCCATCAGCTCCTCATCGATGCATTGAGTCGAATGCCTGTGTAGAGGAATTATTTATTTACTACGGAACTGAGACACGAAAGGAGGAAGAAGAGATCCGGTCGATCGAGAATACCAACGAAATCCCCGGAAGCCTTTCCCTGGGGGCGAAAACTCACTTGTGACAAAAATTGTAGCACGACACGCATTTCCCTCCATCCGTCGGATCTCCTACGTAGCCCGTGAGGCATTGACTGCACTGTGGACCTTGCGTGTTGTTGTGGCAGCTCAGGCAGACGTCCAGCTTATCGATATCTTCACAATTGGAATGACCGTTGCACTTGCAAGCTATCGTGCAGTTGTTGCCCACGAAACCGAAACCGCACTTGCACTGGTCGGGACGTACGCATTCACCGTGCTCGCATCCTTGACTACACACAGGACTACACGTGTTGTTCTTGCCCGCGGTGTAGCCTTCTTGGCACACGCACTCGTAGCCATCGTCTCTATCCACACATTTCTCCTTCTCGGGATCACAGTCGTGGTGTCCGTTCTGGCATTCGTCCTCCATCGGTCGTTTGAAGTAATACCAGCCCACGTTACTGCCGTGGGTTTGGAGCCATTTCGGCACGTCCCCTGGTAGCGGGTGTCCATGCAGGAAAACGGTCCCATTCTGGCAACTGCCGCCGGTCGGACCGTCTTTCCCTCCTTCCATGCAGAGTCCCTGACCGTTGGCGCCCAGCAGGGCGCACCATCCGCATCGTGGGTCCGAGAGGCAGAGCTTCGATTGAGAATGATAGTGACAGGGTGGAGAGCATATGTGAGGATCCCCTTGCAACAGAGGTCCGCACATTCCGCCCTCGCAACGAATCGGAGCGAACGTTGGCGTTATGCACTGGCCGAGAGACGACGCCCACCAGCACTGGTGGGCGCTTCCTTCGCCTCCCGTGCTTTCCAGACAGGTCGTACAGTTCGTGTACGATCCGCACCTACGTGGACACGAACGTGGCGGATTCGATTCGACCGGATGATTCACCTGGTCCTTGATTGTTTTCCGAACGCAAGTCCAATCGAAGGTCGGCGTTTGACTCACGAAGTGTTTGAGTTCTCCCGAACGTTGAACTTGTCGTGTCCACATGCATTTTCCCAGATCTCGGCATTTTTCGCATTCCGAAGCGACGCAGCTCCGTTGCGGACATCGATCCGGTGCGTACACTATGCGAGCTTCCTGTGCATCGTTACAATCGGGTGTGGTTTGGCCGGGACAGGAGCTGCCTATCGGAAGGCAGCGTCCTTTCTGGCAGTCGGGACACCATTGGCAAACGGATGGTCGGAGAGCACCTTTCTCAGCCGGCCAACGGGCTAGACAATCGACACAGCTCTCGTAGAGCTCGCAGGTGCGATTCTGTATCCAGCCGATGCTGCAATTTCTGGCTCCTTGCGTGATTGGTTCGCAGCTGGAGAGGGAGGGAAAATTCAGTTCACCGATAAGTTGGCCTCGACTAGGATCTCCGACTCGAATTCATGGGGAAAAGTAGCGGAAAAAGGGGAGCCGTGATGACGCAGCGGGAGTCATACTCACGATTTCGGTCCGTGTCCGACTTTGAAACAGAACTTTTCAGGTCTGCCAGTCGGGCCGCCGATCGTTTTGACAGCCGGGCAAAAAGAGCAACCAGGATTATTGAGACATCCTAGCCGTTCGCGGAAGAGATTGCAGAGATCGCTTGGAACCGAAATCTGGAACCGGAAACGTGATATCATAGTAAGTGAAAACGGAATAATATAGTTCGATATTCATCCTGACAACAGAGAGGGGCCCGGTGGGGTTTTGGTTCTCACTTTGTAGAAAGATCCTTGCGGTTGATAAGTGGATCCCCCGTAGATGTAAACTTCACCATTCAGATTCACCGCACTCGCACTACTGAAATGGGCTGGAGGAGTGCCATTGACTCTGACATCTGCAAAGGGGGGGAGCTGCATTTGAGCGGCTGCGTGGTCGTTCATCAGAGATCCTATCGACGTCAAGCTGCGTTCGACGTTGAATTACGATCGATAGCGATAATTAATTGATCGTAGATTCACTCACAGAAACCCTCGAGGTCCACCCAGGCGTTGCACTTAATGTTATAGATGTGAGTGTCCAACGTTGTTTCGCCTCCGGAATCTCTGCCCCCCATGACGTACATCATGTCGCCGACCAGAGCTGATGAATGGAAAAATCTCGGGGCGATGTTGGCGTTAGGACTCACTCGGTCATCGGGGGGAAGACGTGTCCACATCCGGCTGCCGACATGAAGCGCGAACAAAGTCGAGGATGGGAGTGCACCGGCTGCGATCAAGGGCGGAAATAATTAAAGTCTCCTCGAAGCACAAGAAGGATCTCAAGTACCTACGGAGGACGCTCCGCTTGAGCGGGATCTTACCGGCTTCGTAGAGGATCCCCCCGAAAACGTAGATGCAGTCGGTGGGAGGATGGTACTCCGCTGTGTGTCCGTATATTCCCTCGGGAGATGATCCGGTCGTATTGAACACTTTGAAGGTCGTATCTTGTATTGTATAAATCAGAGTTTTTTCTTGGAAACCATTCTCTGGAGAATAGCCACCGATCATCAACAAGAAGGTGTTGTGGACATTAGTCAGGGTACAGCCCACCAAGGGGGGTACATCGGGACCGGTCTGGAGAACAATTTCGGAGTCAGTATTGAGAAATCTCAAATGTTACACGTTGGGGGGTTGCTTTCGATTCAGTCCTCACAATAATTTTTTCCATTGATCTTTTTGATTTTCTTCCGAGCAGACGACTGAGAGCTCGATTAATCCTTACCGCGATCGTAGTCCAAGTTCTATGCACGGTCGCGAATTTCCAAAAGTCGCCGACTGCGGAGAATTGACTGTTCATCCCTCCGTACACGTACATGTCTTTCCCGACCATCGTGGCGCAATGATGTCTTCGCGGACTGGGCATTTTACTCTCGTCGTGGGACACGTTCACTTTCTTCCATTGATAGAAATCTTTGTCATATATGTACAGCCGATTGCTGTAGGGATCCTGGTCCATTTGAGAAACACCACCGAATAGCCAAATATGGCCATCAGGCTCGCTGACCAAAAGAGAATGACCGAATTGGATGTCTGGAGGGCTATCAACCACAAGATCTGCTAATGTCAGCGTATCAGCGGAAAATACACGCTCCACATCGTAGAGCAGAGTCCACACTACACTTTGATGCGAATTGAGATCTACGTCGCATGCGTCGCCACCGAAGTTGGCATTGCATCGACAGAGCGAATAGGTCTGCGAATCGAAGAAATTGGAGAGCGTTAGTAAATGTCATCGTAGAACAAACATCGAGATTCTCCTTTGAAAGCATAGAAAACAGCTCGTACGTACCCGCTCGCAACTTCCTGAGGCGGTCTGGGCGGAACAGGCTTTCGGACACAGCTTGACGTCGCACAGAGGCCCATGGTATCCTGGTTTGCAGACGCAAAGACCGTCTTGACATACACGGTTTCGACCGGGGCAGCCTCCTGGACACCACATCTGTCTGTAGGTAGCGTTGAAACCTTCGTGGAGTTTCGAGCGACGATAGTACACCGAGAGTTGATTGGTCTTCGACGCAACGGTCAACGGCGCGTTGAGTTGCGTACCGCAGAAGGAACCGAGGAGCTGGCCCGGGGAGTTCGGACTGAAGAGTCCTTCGTATATATAAACGTAATTTTCCGGACATTTTATGTTAAGCGACGTTGCCAGCGTCAGCTGTATGGTGCTGTCCTGTCGACCCTGCACGATCCATAGGCAGTGTTGAGGTACGAGCGAGGAGCCCTCACGAGAGCCGAGAGCACCCGAAAGCTCGGTGAGGAACGGCTTGTGGTCGGTACAGTCCTTGTAACACGTACCGTTGTCCCTGGGGTCCCCGTAGAAACCGGGCAGGCATCTCTGGCAGGATTCTGATTCCGTATTGTGTATACAAAAGCAATTTCCTGTTTCCGCATGGCAATAATTATTTTCAGGATCGCCGTGGCCGTTGCACTTGCACAGCGAACAGCCTTCCCGACGAGTTGCGTTTCCGAAGGCGCCCTTCACACATCGGTTGCAAAGCGGGCCGGCCGTGTTGTCGCGACAGTCGTCGCATCTGCCGATTCCCTGACTGCAACGCGAGTGAAAATTGCATCCGCAGTCCTTGTCGCAGAACTCACCGGTCCAGCCGATTTCGCAGATACACTTGTAGTCGGGTGCTTCGGAACACGTTCCGTGATTGCATTCTTCATCGCAGGTTTTCACGCATTCGTTCCTCCCGTCCCCCTTGTAGCCTTTGTTGCAAACGCAAATGTAGGAATCTTCGGTGTCTTGACACGTAGCGTTGTGGTGACATTTCGCCAGCTGCAGACGGCACTCGTCGACGTTGGGACACTTGGCGTAGGACCACGAGGCGGTCTGATCCAATAGCTCGTTGACGTCCTCGTCCGTCACGGTGATCGAGAGCGAATCCGAGAGAATGATCTCGCTACAGTTACCGTTGTACGGTCCGGAAAAATCACCCGCGGTGCAGTTCCCGATGTTCGGGTTGTCCACATTACCGCACCAGCCGCATCCTAATTGACTCATACAACTCTTGCAGTCCGAGTGCCGCGTGCAGTCCGGACACTGCAAAGGCCCGCTCTTGACGTTGCCGCGCTTAATCAGCGGCGGGATGTCCTCGTCGGCCCACTCACGGCAGCCGCCGTACATGAACGAGCTGATGTACGTTGAGAACAAGAAACACTGTTGGGTTTGTTGGCACCAAGCGCAGCGACCGGCTTCGCTGAGACACTTATCGCAACCTTGACGCAAATGGCACGGGGTGGGACACTGAGAGCGGTCCCGGAGGGCTGAAGGACTCCTGCCGCGGCGTTTACAGGTGACGTCTTCGGCCATCCATTCACAATTCGGATCGGTGAGACAGGTGTCGCAATAGATGTGATAATTACAATTGGAGCACTGGTCGGGCTCGAGCACGAGCAGCTCCCCGTCCTTGGCGGCTGGACATTCACCGTCGTCGTCCGAGAGCCGGGAAACGCAGACACCTTTCGAGTGGCACCATCCGCAGGCGGAATCGACGAGACAGGCGAGACAGCTCGCTCGACGGCTACAATCAGAGCCGTTCTTGTACGGCTCGAGATACTTGATCGGAATCGGAGTCGAATGCAGACAAGATCGCAGTTGATGACACCATTTTATCTCGGAATAGTTTTCGCAGTTTCCGCGCACCGGGTTGCGATCGCAGTACAATTGTATGGTCATGTTGAGTAGATAGCGAGCCCCCTTGCCGACAATGGGGATCAATTTATTCCCCGAGGGTCGAACGGCTTCCGTCATGTTGAAGTTCGAGTTGTTGTGGACGGCGACTATTTCTAGATTCGCTTCTTTATCGTCCAAACTCATTTTGAGTTCAGAGTTAAATCCGCTGCGTATGAATATCTTAGGAGTGCCTGATGAAGCGTCGAGCGCCACTCCTGTCGGGTGCAAGTAGCCTAGAATCCGGGCGACCCCACCGGATTTGTCGCCCTTGCTCGCCGGGAACACTATGCGAGCCACGGAACTGTTGATCATGGTCAAATCATCCGGCAGCGAATAATTGACCGGGTTGCTGTACTGAACGAACGTCAGACCCGGCTTATAGTTGTGGCTACGGCATTCGGGCAGGTTAGTTACTACGTATCCGTGATTTCCCCAATAGCCCTCAGATTGGCCGTCGATGGTTTTGTTTTCTGGCGTCCGGCACAAAAGAGGTGGATCGTTTAGGGAATGGCATTGCGAGCTGGAGACACACCAACCGCATGAGCGAGGCATGAACCCTCCTGCGTCTACCATGACATGATTCGTGATCTCCTGACCTTCGCCCCATGCCATACAACTCTGACAGTCTCGGAGGGCGAGACACAGCGTCGGGCAGCTTCCGACCGAAAAGTGACCTCCGCAGTCGGCTTTCTTATTCCTGTCCATACAGATCGATAGTAGAGAGCACCAGCCACAGGCGGGATTCTCCCGGCAGGCGACCTCCGAATTATTGTAATCGCCGCACAAGACGGAAGCGGTTTCCGATGTGATGTGCGTGATGGTCTCCGGTAGCTGGAGGGCTCGAAGGTCTCCTCGCATGAAACCGCTGTAACCACCGAGGATGAGCAGCGTTCCGCCGCGACGGAGCGCCATGCCGTGAGAGTAGACACCGGCGCCGGGCGGGACGCGTTGCGATTTCGGGAGACCGTCGCCGGTTGACATCAAAATGTCGTATGAAACCCATTTGTAGCATTTCAGATGGTAGAGGTAAACTTGATCGTCGAAACACTTCTCTTCGAGACTGTGACGATGCATGTATCTGGAAGCGGAAACACCAATTAGATCAACATCCTGACACGAGGAAGGACGAAATATATCGATAATAATTGACACCTCATTCTAAGGGGACAATTATTATGACTGATGCTCCGTGAAGAACGGAGCAATATTCATCAAGTTGTCATAACTGAATATTATATCAACGATGAAGTGTAATTAAGTAATTACGATGTCCCATTCTGCTCGCTCGAGGTTCGGATCCGAAAATCGGCAAATACGACTCACCCTCCGAAAATCACCAGGTAGTTCCCCGCGATCGTGGCGCTGTGGAAAGCTCTCTCGTATGGGTGTTCAGGTTTTTGAAGCTGCTGGGATCTCGAACTCGTCGGCTGGGAGCGTCCGCTCGACGGGTAATACAGCTGCGTCCAGTGGCGTTTTTCCACGTTGAACGCGTACAAGCTTGAGCTAAGTTTGGAAAATCTTGCCATATCGGCAACGATTCCTCCATAGACTAGAATACTCCGTGAGGCCGCATGGAAGGTGGCGCTGTGACCCACGACTCGGATTGGGTTGCCGGCCGAAAGCTCGATGAGTTCCCATCTGGGCTTTCCCGTCATCAGACTGACCCTGTAGAATTTGTTTGAGAATTGGCCACCTTCCATACGACCGCCGAAAACTATGAACGTTTTCGGTTCGGTCATCGTCAGCGAGTGGAAAGCGACCATCGGGGCTTCGACCCCCGACGGATCGGGTTCCTCGAGATTCCACTCCTGCTTCTGTAAATTGTAGATCCACAGTTCGTTGCTGAGGCTTCCGTCGGCGAGCTCGCCTCCGAACAGAACGATGGAGTCGGCCTGATGGAGCATGGCGTGACCCCAACGGGCCGCCGGCATCAATTTGCTCCGGAGCGTCGTCCATTTCGACGATGCGAAATCGTAAACGAGAAAATCCCCGAAGACGGTGCTGAAATTCTTCCCTCCGAACGCGTACAGTCGATCCGTGAACGTCACGTAGGCGACCGAGTGTCCAGCCCGAGGACTGAAAAGACTGTTCTGGTCGTCCGCCAATGAATGCCAGCCGACGTGCTGCTTTTCGCTGACCGAAGGCAAGCTACAGCTCCTACCCGAAAATCCCGGGAGACAAACGCATCCGTGATCGTTGCACTTGCCGTGGACACGGCCCAACGACGAGCTGCAGTTTTTCGGGCAGCGTTCGAGCTCGCAGGCTTCCCCGGTGAAGCCGGACTCGCATCGACAAGCGTTGTCCAGGCACTTTCCGCGCTCACTGCAGTTCAATGGGCAGTCGTCGATGCTGTAGTTGGCGACAAAGCCTTCCAGGACGTAGTTGGTGTCTGAATACAAGAGGATGAGCATCGAGCCGGACCGAGCGATGAAGTAAACTGGATTCCTGTTGAGTCCTGAGAGCGAAGCCAGCATCGGAGCGGTATACGAGTCACCATCGTAGATATAAAGATGATCGAATGCGCACTCGGTGTTAATTTGGGTGATATTCAAGCTGATGAACGACCGTTTGCCGGGAGGAGCTGCGAAAAGAGAAGAAAGCTGAAGATTCGATCGCCAATCGAATTTTCTGAAATATTCTAGCGTAATTCTCTTCCTTTCACTCTTCGCTGATTCTCAGCAGTATGAGGCATTTTCTTTTTCCCTACTGGAGCTGAGTCGATGGTGAGCGAGCGCGCCGACGGCTCGGAGATCGCTTCAGGGTTCACCGCGATCACTAAACTTGATTCGGCTATTGCTCAATGGTCGGCGGACTAACCTTGGATCAGCCACTCGCAATGACTGTTATTGTGATAGTTTCCCTCTCCGTCGGTGATGAAACCCCGTGGATCGGTATGGACCTGCCGTTCGCGATTGCAGGTGTTCGAGCGACCACGGACGCCCTGCCCGAGCAATGCCAAGACGGTCCATAGCGCGAAAATCTGCTCGAGCGGCTTGGCTCCAGTGAACATCCTCGGATCTGAACATTACAGCATGTATGCACGTGAACACGAGTGCATTTTCAAAGTACGACGGTCGTCTTCGGGATCGAGGCTTCTGCGAAGAGAGAAAACCATATTTCTAGTACCGGTTCGGTCTAGGCTCTCTGAGGTGACAAGGGGCATGTTCTGGCCTGTACCCAATCCTCGGAGGGAGGGTCGGAACGCCTCCTCGGAGCCGACGATCGATCCTGTATCGAGAGGTTATCTTCAGCCACCTCCAGAGTACAGGAGTGTGAATGAGCAGATCGAGACGACCGCTACCTTCTTGCCGCGGCCGTCCTGTTCAAGAGGAATTCGAGGAGAGGACTACAGTATCACGCTCTCCCGCCAACGTGACCAATAGGAACATCAAGAGGGCCATCCGCTTGGAGAAGCGCGTGCGTTATTCACGCTCGACGTTTAGCTTGCCAAATCTCCAAGAAACCACAATTAAAAACAATTTGAGCGCACAGTTCGAGCGGATGCCCAGCCCTTCCAAATGTTCCATTGTATCGAAGGCTCACCATAGGCAGTTGGACGCTACAATGCCGAGAGGGCGATGATAAAGCTCTTTTCGCGAAAAAATATCCTCCACCAGCTGAAGATTGCTTGAGGTCGAGGTTCGGAACTCTTACCGTCGTCAGCCCTCATCACTCATTATTCCAGCGGAGACGGGGTTCCATCTGATCCGACGCTGTCTAGTAGCTCACAATTTCCGTTCTACCGCTTCAACTCGCATAGGAACCCGCTTTTTCCCCGAACTCTAGAGAGTGTTTGCGTACTCTAGACCTTCGCTCTTCCCATGATGTAAACAGAGAGTCTGACGTTTAGAACAGGTATCCCAGACACGCACCGTGCTCGTCCCGCTGTGTCGATCATGGCCGGATTGCACGTCATTTGACCGCGAAGCAAGATGGCAGAAAGCTTCTTTCTTTACCTTCTGCATCGGGATGGCGGGAGGAGAGTCGAAGGCCCCTCACAGGCAATGTCCGGTTGGAAATACTGGACCACGGTCTGATATGGGTTGGAATTTTCGATTCGGAGTATTCGGAGCTCCGAGACGCGTCTACGATGCCCGCGTTCTTTCCACCTTCGAATGAAGGAAAGTTTCCAAAACCTGCCTCTGAGGCGCATTCTCACTATTATATGCTTACAGGTCCGAGTTCGATTTCTAGAGCGTGTAAAGATAATAATTAATATCACTCTCAGCCACCGAACTCCGCTGACTTTCCGTGACCCCCGTCCCAGGATGCATGATGTCAACACTGATCTGATAGTCGAGCCATTCGATGCAGGGCCCCGTGCTCAACTGAAAAAAAATCTGGACGGAGCAATCCGGAATCAGAACCATAGGGGCTGGCCCCCATGCGGCCGACCGAAGAGCATTGACGACCCCGAATATTTGCCTCGTGGCCGTCAGCTTTCGGTTTCATAAAGGGCACAGACATAACACCAGTTCCATCATTTCATCAATCGGGACACGAAATAGTATCAGACGGTCAGGATCGCTTCTAAGTGCGAATTTTCATACTCAAATCGCTTCATGGACCTCGCGGGTAGATGTGGTCCATATCCTTTCTTGGCCACAGACGACTCGGAGTCTCGAAACTGCGCATGCTTCGTCGCTCGTGGTTCTTCTCAAGTGCTAAACGAGTAGCTTCATCCGATAATGCCATTCGGTAAGAGAATACAGTCGAACCCGCTTATAAGAAAACCGGTTAAAAGAGAAAACCGGATATAAGAGACAATCTTCAAACCCCGGCCCCATAGAGTTCCGTGTTGAAGACGTCGTATAAAAGAGAGAACCGTCTCAAGCAGAATTTCTGTTTGCTCTCCATGACTCCTCTTCCTTTCGGAACCTGCGCGAATGAGATAACACGCGCAGATCAACAGTTCGATATTATCATTGCTCCGAAAATGATCGTCTCTCCACAGGATCATGATACAGGCATCCGAGTCATACGAGAACGAGATGTTTCAAGTCTTCTCATCGAAAAACCGTGCCTCGGATATTAGAGAAACCGGATGTAAAAAACCATTTTCAATTCCCCGAGAGGTCTCTTTTAAGCGGGTTCGACTGTAAAACCAAAACAACGTCGCAATCCTTCCAAGTCGGGTTCCTTCAGGTGCTGCATTGACTCGTGAGAGCGACGTGACTTCCCGGAGAGTACTCAAATAATTACATGCTAGACACATGCGCATGTATCGCTGAAAATCTGTACTCTTAGCGATCTTCCCGGAACATTTACAGAAGACTCTCAGGAGATTCTCGATCCGAGCCAGAATCGTTTCCGCTAGGTAAAAGTGGTCGTCAGTCAGCTAGAACAATCAATCACAATCCCCATCGAGCTCTCGCTGGAACATTCCAGTCCTAGGCCAAACTCTCAAGTCACTCTTTTGTCGGGGGACGCAATTCTGACCAAGCAATAATTCAAGGATGCTCCGAGGCCCCATGGCAATGAATCGTAAGCATGCCACGCATTATAGAAGTGGTCCGAACCCCCCTCCCGGTGTGAAATGAAAGATGTCTCCGATTGGAAACCGGGATCTTACGATCACCATGAACCGCCGCGGTTTCCACCCTCGTATGACTTGCGACCGCTTCAAGCTCGGCACCGTATTTCTGTCCGAGTCCCAAAATCCTCCAATACATGTGTCCTACCTCGCATCGTGCAATACTTACGATGAATAATTTCTCTATTTCATACCCGAGCTAGCCTCCCAGGATTACGATATATGTAATTGTCCGATATATGAACACAACAAGAATACCGGTCATCCTAGCCGAGTCCAGGAGTGAAAATCTGTGGAATTTCTGGAGAGTTCAATCCCGAGGATCTACCCAGCTTGTCGCCGATGCGATTTCTTCGTGGCGGGAGGTTCTTTTTGAGGTTCCATCAGGATGCACCGGTCATGAACCAAGCATTCCAGCGAGATGGTCGATATGATGCTCAGAGTCCCGGAAGGGCCGCTGTCGCCTGTGGATCGAGACCGAGACTTAACGTGAGAGTGCGTTGAGGCCTATCAGTGTGCATGAATCATTATTCTCCGAGCTCAGGTAATTAATACGGGAACGAGCTCTTTGACGTCCGTATCGCGCAAACTCAATATCCGCACGGGCGAGCCTCTCATGCAGACCATTAGATGAAACACACGCTTCCCCCTTCGCTCCCAGGAGCTTCGCATCGACTTGGGCCCCGATTACAGGGCTCCCGGCAGCATCCGGTGAAGGTGGCTAATTGTATAAAATGGATTCGGAGCTATGTTTTCCCACACTCCGAAGGGCCAGTCAATCAGTTGCTCGAACGAAACTATCTGGACAGACGACAGGATGGGACTAACAACGTTTCTGCCCAGAGGAGTGTTGTTGCTAGCGGACGGATATAGGGAGGGGGCATGTTGCCTGCCGTTCGCGATCCGGGCGCGATTTTGAGCGATCTCGAGAGCTCGGCGCCCCTGTCTCTTATCTCCCATCGACTAGCAACCGGTCAGCGGAGTTATTAGTACATCGCCCTTGATAGCTCGCAGAGGGAATATGAATTCAGCTGCTTCCATTATCGCTCTCATCCATCACCGAACTTCCATCTAGACCCGCTATGTTCTTCAGCTATCAGGCGGACTAAGTTACCAATCCTCGCCGTCTCGCAGAGCTTCCCCGTGTTGACTCGATTTAGGTCTAAATGAACTTTTGAGGCGAGACGGTCCTTGCCTAGTTATCTCTAGCAGTCCTACCCTTCAAATCCGCCCGTTGCGAAGGACATTCTGTCGTCCCGTGGTCGCTCTAATGTCCACGGTTTGTGTCGCATTCGACGAAAGCTGATTTCGATGGGCTGATTCGATCTAGAGCGATTCCGATATCCGCGCGGGGACGGATACGGACCGGGACGTAAACTGTATCGATATGACCACGAGCGGTGGCTAGCGGAGTTCGGCCGAAGTAGATCGTCGCCAATGAGGGACTCCGGCTGCATGTAAAGTATCCCGGACGTGGTTGGTTGGTCAGTCAGTCAACTGCCTGGGGAGCTCGCGCTATACGAGTAGTCGTCGTTAATAAAGGAGATGTCAGCGGCGGCAAACGTTTCGAGTCGGTCCCGATCGCTCAAGGATAGGGGATCGAGAGGGGGGCTTAACCAGCCGTAGTTAGAGTCCGTTCCTTGGCCGACGGACCAACCGAACGGTCGGTCGGTCGCTTCGTTGCCACCGCCGCCATCCATCATTGCCGGACAATAGCGACATCAGGTGCAGCTCAACAACAAACACTGCCTGCTGGTTGAGCGAGCGGCCTGTCTTTCAGTCCTCCTGTCTGCCCCTTCCGCCGATGCCGTCTCGTCCCGTCACACAACAACAACAACGACAACAACAAGCCATCAACATACGCCACTGGAGCTTCCTCGACAACAATACAACTCGATCCAAAGTTTTTATCTCAGAGACCTCTAGGCGAAAACGAGAACGTTAAAGGGGAGCGACACTGACTGACTGAGAGCAAGTGGGAGTACAATGAAGACAGCACACAGCCAATCTTCCTCTCGGTAGCGCGCGCGCTCTCCCCTCCCCTCCTTGGCCCCTTACGCGGGACGAAGCGGAAATTGAAGACTGAAGGCTTCAACAACGATGTCGCCGATGCCGGTAGCGGCGGAAATACGGGACACAACAAGCGAGGAGTATGTGCGCCCACTTTCAAATTCGTTGTCAACAAGCATCTTCATGATTCGATTTGGAAGGGCGTTCGGCCGGCCAGACTGCGGAGTCTATTTCCATTTTTCTAACTAATCGTAAGCCATTCTGTGATCCGCTACGCAAGTGCCGCAACTCCCGGCAGCTGGATCCTGGAGAACGTCCTTCTGAAACGTATCGCATTGACAGACGACGTTGTCGGCGTGAACTCCAGCCTCGACCCCGGGCGGCACCCCGAGGTGATGAGTTAGTAAGAGGAAGCGCGTATGTAGTTGTCGGTGGAGGAAGATAAGGAGTGGCGGTCGCGGAAAAAG